AACCTTACATACTTACTTCCTCGTTGCTTTAGGTTTAGAGCTTCTCTCAAAGTCCTCAGTCACCTTGAGCTGTCATCGGCTGGATGCAGCACCAGCGGCAGCATATCACCCCTCACCTGACGAGAGAGGCTTCCCAGCCCGTGCCTGCCTTACCTCTTTGTCCATTGTTTGGACTGTTGGGGAGAAGCCAGTTCCTCTCGTGTAAGTGTATGTTGGAGCAAGGGTGAAAAGGAGTGGGGGGACAGGGGCAATAAAGAGATGGATCATGTTAAAGAGGTGTATTAAGCCACATTAGAGAAGACATGAAAAAAAAATGAAGGTAATTTCTGGAAGGCAAAACTTGGAAATTGAGTTTGGCGAGCTTAGGAAGTTTTGGGTGAAGCGTGACTTCTTTTTCCCCGTTTTTTGGGGGGAGGGAATCTGTGAGACTTGAGGAGGGGATGAGGGGAGGGGGAGGTGTGAGGTTTGTGAGGACAAAGAAAAGAGAAGCCGGTCAGGTGTGCCGAGTCTCAGTCCAGTGCTGATCATGACCACAGCTCCATGCCGGTAGCTACGAGACGGGAGCAGACCGAGTGAGGAGCCGCCAAGGGACACAGCGATGGTGAGGTGCTGGAAGCGTTCAGAAAACTGCCTGGAGGAAGAAGAGTGCACGGTAAGCGCGTTACAGACAAGATGGAAGATTTGAAATAGCTGGGATATGTTGGTTACTTACAGACCCCACTTTTGTTGTATTACAAGTTTACAAGTTTATTGCTGGGTGGGTTCCTGTTCTGCCACAGCCTGGGATTTAAATACCCCAAATAACCATCAAATAGGTTTTTTAAAGCCTGTTGCTGGTTCATGTGTTCTCAGGATGGGGGCCCTGAGGAGTCCCCTTTGTTCCACTTCCCGCACAAGGCATTCTGGGTCAGCCTCTCAGCCTGCCTGCTCCTGGTCATCCTCGCCCTGGGTTTGACGGGGCACTTCGGGAGGTCTCAGCCTCACACTCAGGTATGACGCACACCTTCCCTTATCATGCCCCGGTTTACATTTTCCAACTTCTGATTTACAAATCTCTGTTTTTTCAGCCTTTGCAGACTGTGAGGTTCACTGTTTCAGATCAGACTGGCGCGCTTATCAACCAGTCAGCAGTTGTTGACCAGCAGAATGACTTGGTGACCTTCTCTGTGACCTCGTCGCTGAATCAGACGTCCACTGTGCTCTTTGATATAAAACATGTATGTCCAGATGACTTGAATTATTCTGAATAATTAGAAAAAAGGGAGAACATCTGCGAGTTATGATGGGTAAATGTGTTTCTGTGTTTCAGAGTCTGATATGCTACAAGCCCGTCAGCCAGGAGAGCTGCTTCCTGAGAAAGATGGAGCAGTCAGACTACAAGAATGTGAACTCCGTCCTCCACGAGACGGCACGCAAGGTAGCGGGCAGGGGACATGTTATATAATATGGTCTTCCCCTCTGCATTACTGCATTACGAGAGACATCAAAGTGCACCAGGCATATTAAGAAAAAGTTGCCCTTTTAGCTCTGCCAGGTGTTTCTAAGGTAGCAGCCGCACTACTGTGTGAACTGGCATTTCAGTGCACTGCACCACTGAGCCAGGACTTGGTGGTTTTGCATGACTTTGTTGGGTACGCCGTACAAAGAGAGAGGTGAAGCGTACAGGGCCTTGAAGAGCCTCATAGTCTGTCTCTCTTACTCCGATGGCTGAATTCCTCAGCACATCTGATCCCTTCAGCCCCCTCGGCGTGCCCGAGGATATTCTTACAGGAGGTTACGGCAGCGAGCCCGAGCCTTGGCCTGGGCACAATGGCCGCTCTGTGTGAGGGCTTTTCAACTTTTAAGGCGCTTCTTTTTGGATTAAAATACAGGTTGATGCATTAAAGGGCCAGCGTGTATCTGCTTGTTGACAAATGCTTGGATCTTGAACACTGACATCCAGTCTTTAAAACGTTTTCATCTGTGTCATTATCTGATTCTTAATTATGAATTGACAATATGATCAGGTGAATGGTGCTGGCCCTGGATGAATGGAGACCTTGAGATGAGTTGTGGGACCTTGGAGGTAAACTGAGAGGGACTTCTTATCATCTTTTTACACAATACCCAAGTTCCTCGTCTCAGAAGCTGCTTTTCTGTGATCCATGGTGTCACATATCTCATACAGGCTCTGTGTATTCAAACGTAGCTGCTGTAGCCATTTAATCTATGATATTGGGGCTAGCAGATGTGGCTTGTTTGTGCCAAGGCACAATGGTCTTATTGGTTCTTTTTAACAGAAAAGGAAAACTGGTTGCTGTGTGAGCTACTCGAGCACAACAGGACTTTAAGCGGTTTGTTATCAGAGCCAATCAGAGTTGTAAGAGGTGCAATTACACACAGTGTTTGGGGTGAAAGCGAGCACAAATTCAAAGTTGGCCTCGTCAGTGTAGATTTCAGGCTAATAGGAGCTCAAGTTTCCATCTTTTTTTCTCGCTTTTTCTCCTTTATGAGTTTAATATGATAAAATAAGAACTCTTTGTTGTGGATATTGATACTGCGGTGCTGTCCTCGGCAGAGCCAGTTCCAGCTGTCTGGGAATGAGACCCAGAGGCAGATGGAGTTCCTGGGAGTCCTGGCAGCCAGTCAGGTGAATGTGTCCTCGCTGGAGGAGCCTCTCCAGGCCCTGTGTCAGGACAGGTCGGTCCACTGGACCAGGAGGACCGAGGGTGAGGGGACTGCTTTGGCTCAAACGTCAAACGTTCAAAAAAAAAAGCTTTACAATTATTCTGATAAGGTTTAGGAAAAAAAGTTAAACTAGTGAAAAAACAAAGCTGATATATTTTGAATTTTACCTGTTGTCAACAAATCCTCATGTTTTCACTGCGTGACATCTTTTTGCATTATTAGTGGTGGGATATCAATAGTATCAGTATCAATACATCCAAATATCAGTAGTATCGATACCAGCTTTAGTATCGATACTGGATTGATACTTTGTTTCTATCCTCTATCCTCTCAGTATGTAGCTCACTGAATTGTGGTGAGAAAAGTATTTTTTTGGGATATGAAAGAATATACCTCAAACATGCACCATGAAAAATGTCTGAACCGGTTTGTGTCGACTGTCACACACATCAACAACAGAAGGTGACCTAAAGTGCTTTAGGAACAGGTACATTTCAAAATACATGACCACCACGAAAGGGTTGTTATACTGATGAACTAATTTAACTAACTATTGTAGACAGTAAAAAATTACAGTGATTTAGTGGCCATTAAAATGTGTTCAGAATATACAAATTGATGATTGATCTCACAGACCACACACACTGCTCTCCCCTACATAAGCTACCTTTACGGGTTAAGTATCGATATCTGCAATACTGATCTTGTATATATTTAGTATCGGATCAATACCAAAATTTGAAGTTTTGCACGGCTCAAAGATCAAATGCGCATTAATTCGAAGCTGAAAATATCTCCCAAAATATCTAATGATTTAATCCTGAGTTATGTTTTCTGAATAACTAAAAAAAACAGTGTGCTGCATTTCTCCTAAACTTACACTTTCAGGAAAAATGAACTGGCGTCAGGCTCAGTTCCTCAGGAAAGTCAGAACATTTTACGGGCTCTGGATTTTTGATGAAATATGTCTTTATTTGGAACATAGGCTTTAAAAACTGGTTTCACAATTTCTGATACTGTTTGACAAAGCTGCACCAAAGAGCACCGCGGAGTCTTTTACTCTGACGATGATCCCCTTTAATATTCAGAAAACAGTGGAATTTTCTATAACCACCTCAGAGCTGTTCCCTATTAGTTTCATAGACTCATTTATGAATCGACTCTTTTTTCCAGACACCTGAGTCACAAATTGGGAGAACAGAACAGAAATTATGCTGAAGTTTTCACACAAGGGCTCATTTGTCAGGGTCACCGGAGCCTGCGCGCAGAGAGGTTTTTCAATTAGCCCTGCGGCCGCTCCGCAACGCAGCAGCGTGTCAGGCTGAAACCTGATTCGTGGCCTAATGTGACCTTTCCACAGGGTGAAAGTCTTTTTATGTACTTTACTGTGTGCTCCCTCAACAGCATGTACATGAGCCCATGCTGAACACCAAACTAAATCTGGCTGCTTTTAAACCATGAATGATTCATGCAAATGACTGCATTTCTAAATGATTTGTTTTCAAGTGACACTTGAATCTAAATTTGTATTTTTTAATGAGTCACATGACCTCTCATTTTCTCAGGCCCAGGCAAACAGAGGTTGGTCTACTTCTGCATCGACATCTGCTTCCCCAGCAACATCTGCGTGTCCGTGTGCTTCTACTACCTTCCAGAGTGACTCTGCATTCTCTCTCGATCCTCCCGGCAAAAGATCAGGGAAACAAAGTTGTCTTTTTTTTTTTTTTTTTGGCTCCCTCTTCAAGAACAAAAGCGAGCTTTGACTGTTTCCTTTGTGCCATACAGCCACCTGTAAACCATTTTCTTCCTTCCGAGAAAGAAGTGAGCTGGAGACGGGCTGTCACAGTTATCGCCAAATCCCCATCATCACTCTCTTCATGTATAATACCCTCTCTGGTGGCACGCTTCAGAGATTAAAGAAGAAAGAACCCCCGCTCCCCCTTTTTTGTTGTAAATGCCTCTAACTGTATGTCCTGTAACGGACTGCTGTGTGTAACCGTTCCTGTTACAATGTGACTGTTTTGTTCTGAGAATAAAAGACACAACCTGTTGGGTATAAAGACATTTCTGTACACCATTTATTCAGCAGTCCACCTCCACATGACGAAGAACAGAACAGCTGTTCAAATAAATCATACATAGAGTAAGAGTAAGTCTGCTGCACACACAAAGCACCTGTGATTAATGTGGTCTTTTTTACAATAAATACAGCGCTCTGTAAAAACAGAGCTTTGCAATTTGAATTAAAAAAAAACAAACTATTATGTCTGCCTCGTCATTGGCAGATTTCTTTCTGTACGTCTGTGGAAACAAAATAGGTCCATTAAAACAGATTTTAGCTTTACAGATTTTTATTTTGGCTGTGTCGCTCTGCATATATGCCAGAGATGGCCACTGTGCACGCTTCCCCGAGTCGATTGTTGTACTGGCGCTGACATACGCGACATGAGTGGCATCCTCATAAGAGTCTTTAGTTCCTGTCTGACAACCTTTTATCTCTTCCTTCTGCTTCCTCCTCCTCCTCCTTCTCAGCCGAGCACGCTGTCATTAAAGGCCAGACACACCACGGCCTTCTGGTGGCCGCTGTATTCCCTTTTGATCTCACCAGTTTCCACGCACCACAGGCGAGCCAGGTTGTCTGAGGAGGCTGTGGAGTGAGTGAAAAAGTAGAATTAAAACAAAGCAATGTCTAGCCTTACATGAAAGTGTCTAAAAGTAAAAAAAAAATCATAATAATGTTTAAACCATTTTAAACCCCTTTTACATAATTCCAGATGTAATGGCAGGGCAGGGGTTAGTATGACAAATGAGGACAAAAATCAGAAAATGAGACGTCCTTTTTATCTTACAAACAGCCACATTTCACATCTGCAGCCCTCAGATGGATTGCAATGTTTTACTTTAACAACTCTTATTCAGTTTTGAGATCTGGTGTTGCAGTGTGCTGCTGTACGGACCTGTAACAATATACTGCGAGTCTCCGGAGAAAGCGCAGTCCCACATCCAGCCTCTGGATGTTTCTCCCGGATTATTGCTCTTGATGCTGAGCTCCGTCATCAGTGAGAAATTGGACGTCCTCCAGATCTTACACGTCTGGTCTGCCGAGCAGGTGGCCAGCAGCCTGGAGGCGACGACGAATGCAAAATGTCAAGTTGTATTTTCGGTGGGGAACTGAGGGGTAAATTGGAGAAAAAGGTTCACTCACGTGGAATCGGGGCTGAACTTGCAGCGGAGGGAATAGCGTTTGTGTGCAGGGATCTTGGTCTTGGGAATGAGCTGAGTCACTTCATCCCCGATGCCTCCAGCGAGGTTCCACACATAACAGTTTCCCTGTAAAAGAGAGCCGGGGGGAAAAAAAGACAAGCATTAAAATAACATGCTATAAAAGAGTGAATGTATTATCCTGCGCCACATATGCTGCAGATTCTTTTAGGCAACTGACCGAGCTGTTGACTGCTGCCATGTAACTCGCATCTGGGTCGATGTGAACTGAATTGATTGAGACCTCCGGCTCTGGAATCAGCTGCTCATTATGGTCTGTCTTCAGATCCCAGATATGGATCACTCCACTCTGGTCTCCAACTATCAACTCTGCCTAAAAAAACATAATGAAATCTTCGGCATTAAGTACAAATGCGCCAGATAGTAACCAAGAGCACAGCCTCACCTGATTCATCTGTGTGTACTGAGTGCCTCACCTGGTTAGGATGCAAGCACACGCAGTTGATCGGAGCGTTTACTTGGAAGATCCTCTGACACTGCAGATTTCTTGACCTACAAGGTAGAGCAGGGATCAGAGTTTAGTTTGCTGATCATTAAATAAACAAAGACCAGTGAGCTTGTCCTTTAGTACCTCAGATCCCATATGCGAGCCATGCAGTCCTCTCCTCCTGTGTACATCCAGCGTCCATCTTCGTGGAAGCCCACAGACGTGATGTTCTTGCTAACTCCATCGTAGTTGATGACCGGGTTGGGGTTGTTGGAGTTCAAGTCGTACATGCGGATATGCTGATAACCTTGAAAGCACAATGCAAACATTACTATGAAGCAAAGTAACATTAAGGTGAGAAATGAGAAAAAGGATTGTGGGGAAAATTGTAACCAACCTGCAGCTGCAATCATACTTCTGTCAGGTGTGACCTCGAGGGAATTTACTTGCTGAGAGTAAATGTTAAGGAAGTGGACAATGTAGGTTGCTGCTGAAGTTAAAGCAAGTGGAAGAGTGTCTGGAGAGAGAAAGAATGAAAGTCAGCAGAAGCAAGACAGAATACATGTGTGAATGAGAGAGAGACAGCCATAACAGTGAAGGTAGCTGAGTTTAGATACCTGAAGTCAACCAACTAAAGTAAAAGACAGTCCACAAGAGAGATGACAAAGAGTGAGCAGGCAGGCTGGAGAATGTGGGGATGAGTGTCAGAAGGATAGCAGCAAGAGTGAAAGTGAAGGTTTATAAGATGGTAGTGAGACCTGGTATGATGTGTGGTTTAGTGATGGTGACACTGACAAAAAGACATGAAACAGAGCTGGATGTGGTAGAAATGAAGATTTCAAGATTCATTCAGAGTAAAGACAGCGGTTTGGAGACAGGTTAGAGGCGAGGCTGAAATGGTTTGGACATATGCAGAGGAGAGACAGTGTAAATGAGACCTGTGTAGTGTGAATATGGAGCTGCCAGGCAGGAGGAAGGCAGGAGGAAAACAGGAAGACCACAGAAAAGATTCTTGGATGTAGTGAAGAAGGACATGCAGAGGGTTGGTGTGACAAAAGAGGAGGCCAGGGACAATGTGAGATGAAGGCAATTAACCCACTGTGGCAAACCCTAAAGGGTTTATAGAAGATCTATAAACACAGAACTAAAACAAAAGCACTTTTTGCGTTCACGTGGATTTTTGTGAGAAGCTATAGATAACATCTGATTAACTTTGAACTTAAAACCTGAGATTTATAAATGGTCATAAGCTATAATTATTCAAACATGACAGTACACATTCTGCGTAAGCCTCCATATATCAGGGTAAGGATACTGAGTCCTGGTGCTGGACCGTCCTGGTGCAGATCCCGCTGTGGGCCTGCCAGAAGCGTACAGTGTGGTCGTATCCAGCCGTGGCCAGAATGACCGGGTCGCTACCCACCGTCCCCTGATTCACATTCATGACGAACTCCTGGCGGATACTGCAGGGAAATTCAATTTGCAACAATTAAAGTAAAATACAAAACACAGCTAAAGCACAAAAAAAGGTTAAACTGTTAACGTATCATAAGCTAACTTTAGCAAAAGAGGCTAGCCAAACTTTGCTGTGCAATAAACAATAAACGTTTTCTAGTATGAAACCATTAGATCCCTTAACTGTAACAACACAGCAATACTACCGTATTAAAAGGACAAATTTCTTTAGTTCCCTTTGTTGTTGTCAGTGTTGAAGTCAGCCAAGAAGTACGTCTCTTTAACGCGTCCCTTAGAAACATAATAGTGTTTCAAGAGTTCCGGTTTAATCACTAGATCAGTATTGCCCTCTGCTGGTGTGTCCACGAGGAATAGACATGCTGCAATTAAATACAATGATTTTCAAAGAAGTGTACACCAATAACTCATAATATTAATTAAGACTAAGCGGATCTCATTATGTAATGTTGCAACATCTTTTAATTTCAGCTTTATCAGCATCGTCTGGAAAGTTTCTTGTGTCAATATGGTGACATCTCAGTCCTAATACTCGGTACTAAAGTAAAAGAAAGTAAATAATAGAAAGTTGAAAAATGCCATTGAGTCAATAGGATTTAAGATGATCGCTTCTATCACTGTATCCTGTGTTATTCTAAGTACTACTAAACTTTTTGTACATTTCAAATGGCAAAGGTTGAATAGAAACATAGCTGGATGTATAGAAACATGCCAATATGGATACACGATTGTTGCGTAACTAGTAAGGTTTTTTTTTCGGTTTATAAAAAATTACAATCCAACCGCGTGACATCATCCTCTGTCTGTACAACAAGTTTCTCGAACCGCTCAGAAAAACCTCACAAATACTGTACTCTGTACCACAATCAACAGTAGCTGTAACAGGTATTAACTACACATCTAGTATCAACTTGACAGTTATGAAAGACTCATTATTAACAATGTAAAAACAAAAATGAAACAAAAACTATTGCAAAATGATATAAAACTAAGACATTATAAATCAAAAATCGTCATGGTATATTGTCCCCTCATAGTTTCATATAGGATCTACCGTCTGGAATGCATTGATGTACAAAATATAAAATTATTAAGATTGAATTAAGATTGATCATTATCTAAAAATAAAAATCAAATAAACAACAACATAAAAACTCAGGTGATTAAAAAAAAAAAACCATGAGGCACAATCAATATGCTTACTATTTGTTTTTGTCCTAGTTTAGTATTTATTCCTAATTTTGTGTCAATTTTTGGTGTTTCTTTGGGGCAGATCCGGTTAGAAAAGCATTGCCAGTTAAGCAACATTTTGTACAAAAAGTTTAGGTGCTGTAAGCTTAAGCTTCAGTCTCCACCTTTTCAGCCAGTACTTTAATGATTAAAATATTAGCTTCAACACACCCGCTATCAATAGTTTCTTGCTCTTCGTTGTCAACATCCGGTTTCAGAATGGTTGCTGTTGGTTACAGCTTCACGTCAGAGTTTGGCTCATTTACCTTTGATTGGCCGAAGTCAAGGTGAAGAGGAGAATTCACAATCAGAAACCTGTGAGTCTGTTTGTGGGAAAAATGTAACTTAAGTGTTTTTGAAAATGTAAAAATGAACATTTTCAGAGTTAATTGTAATAAAGTGGTTTTAAATTTGTTTAAAATAAATTGTAGTATCATAATTACAGTACAATTTAGCACCACAGAAATGTACAGGTACAGAAATGTCCTCAAAGCATTGTTGGATTTTCTTTTGAGTGATTGATTGATTGATTGATTGATTGATTTATTTATTGACTGATTGATTGAGCTAAATTAGGAAAGAGTTTTCCAAGTTTTACTATTGTATGTTTACTGCTGAACCTGAGGATAACATGTTTTCAAACTGTTAAATGTTTATCTCCAGTGCCTATAGTTATTATTTAAAAGAGGCTAGTTAGTTAGCTAGCTAAGTTTATGATTGTGTGTCGCCTATTAAGTGTCATACTAACAGCCCCATCATGTAGCTTCCAATGACTGTAGCTTTAGGCTAACGCGAAGTCACTAAAATGTTAGCATGTCGTCTAAATAAGGTACACTTAAGATTAATGTCACTGCTCTTCCGGACATACAACTTAAAACTGTCAAAAGTTGTCAATTAATTTCAGTGAGAACTACAGTAATTTTTATTTTATTTTATTTTTTACCTTTATTTGACAGCTTTATGTGACAACATGTCATTGGTTCTGACATGTTGCTAACACTCAGCTATCATTACCCAGGTTGATACTTTACACTTATTTTACATTTCACAGTAACTGGTACAGGTGTCATGCCAAACATTAATCCTATGATTTTATGTGTGCGCGATTATTAGTTTTATTATTATTTGTCTAATATTTTTGTTATATTTCCAATTATTAATATAATTAATGAATTCTCCATCTAACACACTGTAAACACTGTAATAGTTACACCCTTTTTGCACACTTTTCTACTAGGTAATATTCCTGTCAATGTTCTTGATATTTATTTATTATCACCTTTGTCAATCCTTGATATTTATTATTGAGTGATTTGTATATATTGTGCTATTTCTTCAATTTGCAAATCTGCGACATATTGTTTTGTTAAATAGTCTAGTCTGTTTCTGTTACTGTATTGGAGCAAATGTAACCCACATAATTTCCCTTGGGATTAATAAAGTATACTGGTTCTGATTTTGACTGATTAACCTGTTTTGCAAGGATCCTTGCAAATAGCTGTGCGCTATTTTAACTACTCTGTATTCTACATTATAATCAATACAGATTCTTTTGGCCACTGGATTTCTGCTGCACACTCGGCATTTTTTATAACTTTCTTCAAATACATTTCAAGACATTTTTAGTGTCAATGGAAGTTTTTACCTGGATGATATAGTCACTTTGACAGAAACTGATTGCAGATATGTTTGAGAGCAACAGTTTCTGAAATACTCAGACCAGCTCCTCTGGAGTCAACAATTAGCCACATTCAAAATCACTTAAATCCCCTTTGTTCTCTATTATGATAATCAGTTTAAATTCCCACTGTTATTCTTGACCATGCTTGCATTAATAAATCCACTGAGTTGCTGCCATGTGATTGTCTGATTAAGTATTTGACTTAAGGAGCAGTCGAACAGGTGTAATGAAATGTATCCAAACATTTAACAGAAAAAATCCATATAAAGCCATCTCTATTAGTGTGGGACTACTTAACTTTTTTATGCAAGAAAACACCTCGCCATGCTCTTCATACTCTGAAAAATTATGCAGCAAGTTGTTTCTCCAAATAGATCTGCATATCATGGTTTTCTTTACCCCTTTTTCCTGACCTCTCTCAGATGCGGTTCTGGTTTCATTATGCATGAAATCCATGAGAGATGTAGAGGCGTCGTTGTAGAGGAGCAGCTTCCCTTCCCAGAGGTGGCGCCTGTGTGCTTCAGACTAAAGCAGACGAATAGACCCCGCAAATGGTTCCTCAAAATAGTCTCTGGCCCATATCCTTTCTGTACTGAATGAAGTAAGAATGTCATTAACTCAATTTCAAACCTTTTTATCTATTTTTATGGGTTTTTTTTCTCTTGTATACCACTCAATATGTCCACGTAAAATACTTTTAGTATGAAAGCTTCATCTGTTGTTGATGAATTTTATGAATGTGTTTAGACCTTAACCTCTTCTTCTTCTACATGGTTGGATTATTTGTCCATACTGATGGTCCTGCTCAGCTGCGTGAATGACGGCATGTACCAGCCTTGTGTAGAGGTGGAAGAGGAGAGCTTCACCCGAGAGGTTGTTATAATGAGCTGAGCGTCAGAAGAAGAGACTAGCAGACTAGAAGTGTTCACTAGAGACCTGCTTATGTTTTAGTCCAATGCTTATCTCTGTGCAGAAGAAATTATGCATCTTCATCATCTTTGGTCTAGTTTGGTTCTAGTTCTGTAGAAAAAAATGTAAATTTTGGGAATCATGAATATTTTGCTAATATTTCTACAGCTGAACTTCAAATCATAGCAATTTAGATGAAGATGGCACAACAGGCCCAACAGAAAGTATACAAACGTACAACACGTGAACTGTCCCTTTAAAGACTAAGGATAAGCTGTAGTTTATAACACACTTTGTAAACTCTCTCATTTGTTAGTACCATAATGTGCTTGCGTAATCTTGATTCTTGGCTTCACGATGTCCTCGTTGAAAAATCCCAAAGTGCTTTGCCAAGGACAGGTTTTAAGTTTAAAATGTGAGTTTTTGTACCATATATGATACTAACAGTGGTAGTCCTACACTTAATATTTCAATTCTGCTGCTGCTTTTTAAATGTTCTTCTTTAAAAACTGACAGGATTACTAACATTTAAAGGATTTTTTGGTTTGTCTTATTTGTGGCCAAAAACAGATTTAACATAGAAAGAGAGAATTTTGAATGACAAACATGTATTTCATTTTCACCTATTTCTGTTGAATGACTTTAATTAAAATGGTTATCTCTTTTTTCTTAACCTGACATAAGTCAGCATTAACTTTGTCAGAACAGTCACTTAACAATATGTCATCTTAAAGAGGAGGTAACTTATTGCAATAAGTCAAATTAAACAGTAAAATCTTGTAGGAATGGATCAGAGCCCATAGCCAGACCCCAAGACCCCCTTAAAAGCTCAGATGCAGCATCTGGATATAGTATGTTATATCTGTGCTACTGTTACCAGTGATTGTATGTTAACAGTATGCCTCGCCTTGTTTTGATATTTGATACGATGATGTTTTTCGTTCTCTGTATACAGATTTTGGGTTCTCTCGTCTTTCTTTACTTCATCATGGAAATGCTCATTAAGACAATAGCCCTGGGATTCATCGGCCATAAAGGAAGCTACCTGAGCAGCCACTGGAACAAGTTTGACCTTTTCATCATCTTTGCAGAGTTAGTATCCATGTGTCTATATCTTTTTTTTTTTTTTTTTT